TAGAAATATCTTATTGGTAGTACCTGACGTATAGTAAATGCCTAACGTACGTCAGTCTGACCCTAATATTGTCAATAAAGTATTAGTATTTGTTTCTAAATAAGTGTCGCAATTGTGGTAGGCATTTGTGACGTATTATAGTCGTAACGAATAAAATAAAAATGTTATAAAAAATTATCAAAAATGTTGCCTATGTTTCTATAATGTTTACGCAACCTTATATTTATTCAGCTTATTGTTATTTATTCATGTAGTTGTAAACTCAATGTTAAAATTTCATATATATTAAAATGGATTTCATTGCGTATATTATGATCAATGCCACTCATTTTTACAGAAATTTAAAATTTAAATTCATAAAATATAGTCAATACTAAATATTAGGGGAAAACATAAACATTTGGATTTCAATTTAAGTGAATAAACATCAAATTATGTGATTTACCACATAATATCGCGATGTGAATAAATGTCAAAACACATGAATTAAGTGTTATCGCTCTTTAGGTGCCACCAAGCCTTTAAAAAGGAAAAAATATAGGCCAAACTATTATAAACTAAAAGAGAAGAATAAGAATAAGAGAAGGTGGAGAGAGAAAGACACAAGAGAAGAGAGGAGAAAAGTTCTTATTCATGTGCTTTTTATTCATGTGCTTCTTAGTACAAGTAGATGCTCTATTTATAGGCACAGTACTTTACATAACCTCTACATTCCTACCATCAATACATATGAATGTGAGATTCAATAGTGCATATAATATATGCAACTAATGTGTGCATATAATATGGTCAATGATCATCCATAACATAATATTTACATAATACTCCCCCTTGGATGACCACTAGTTCGCATTACGCTTTCTGATACTGCCACGTTGAAAACCTTACCAGGAAAAACTAGTGAGAAAAAACTCTAGTCAAAGGAAAAAGAGTGCAATGAGTATATGCTCCCTCTCATGACCACATCACTTCAGATCTTTGATTTGTTGAACTAAAATTTCACTAACAACTTTTAAAAAGATTGTTGTCGGGAGTGAGTTAGTGAACAATCTTCTAGATTGTCAATTCGATGCATGATCTTTAGATGTTCTTCATAAATGATCGTCAGGATCATTTCATTTGAAAATAGTTCACAACCACAAGTCCTTTATATATGGTGGATCACAAAGTGTAATTAAATATATTCAGGACTTGCCTACTGTAGTTTGTTTTGTTTCCTTATGAAACAATCATATGACAATTTGTAAGAGATAGCTCGTCTCCGATCAACCAATATGAAGATCAAATAATATATAGAATCTGGATATATAGTTCATCAAATCTCTCTTTGATAATACCATAATAGAACAATCGCATATATGGTTCCCCGAAGGTAACAAAGTATTTTCCAACATTGCAATGAGGGAAACATTGTATCTTGCTAATATTATCAACACCAAAATGATATTGTGTATGGTGCTTGGCTAGCAAGGTACATTGGTGCTCTAATGCATCAACATATGGTACTTGAGGACATAGTACATCAACATATAGTAGTTCAGAACCTAATGTTTCACTTCTTTATTGATGCCTAAATAAATCTTTTGGTCACTTCTAGTGATTTTAGTATCCTAATGTTATTTGATGAACATGATTTGTTCATCCAAAATTACTTTTCCACTTTTTCAACATTACCTTCATTGCCCATAAAAGAATCTTAAATCCTTCAATTTAACTTATGTCTTTAAGCAATCAACTGCTTTAGGAATCTCTTCGAGAGCTCCAATTATAGTCAAATCATCAACATAATATGGAGATCGTCACAAATAATTTCTTGACATTTTTTTTAAATAACAAAAAAAACTTTACTAACACAAATTGATACAATCAATTCTTTCATATCACGAAAGTTAATAACAAAACTCCACATAGAAACATATGAACTCGACAAATCACACTCATAAAACACAACTCATAATGCAAAGTAAAACGCAACTCATAAACCAAGAAATTAAAATCCCAAGACCCTAATTAATAAAGGAAGAAAATAACGGAAGCTTTCTATCTGTTCCTTCATCACTCGGTTAGCAATTGAAAAAAATTGAACTTAATTGTGACCCAATCATTAGACGCCAATTGGGTCGTCGGCAACGATGGGCTACAACCCAGGTTGTTGCCAAATTTTGCTCAACATATTATTGACCTATATTAGTGTACTTGGATCAGTCTTGACTTGTAATCCACTTCTAAGTCTTAAATATTAGTGGGCTCATTGAGTGTAGTCAATTTTAGGCCCCGTTTAATATGATTGTGTTTTTTTTTTGCTATGTTTAGAAATTTATAAAGTGAAAAGAAAAAACATGTTTAGTTGGATTTTGAATTATTTTGTGAAACAAATCCGAGCAACAAGCAAGACAAAAATAAGATAAACTGAAACTAATAACTTCGTTGGTGTTTCTCGCTTTTGTTGCACACGAGATTTTGCCTTTCTCCCTCTTTGTCCGAACAACTCCCAAAGCCATCATCTTCTTCCTCTCAAAAGAACACCCCCCAGCCATCCTTTCTTCTACAACATCCTTGCTCGATTTGGCCAACTACACCCAATTCCGACAATCTCACCGCTCCACCATCTTCGGGCCAATCCTCAATCTCCCAAACACAGCCCACAGTGCTGACGACCCCATCTCGATGACTTTTTGGATCTCGTCGTTTTTTGTTGCTCAAGTATCCAATCCTCTTATATTGCTTTTGATTTCAACCTATATAATCCCTCTTTTGTGGGTTTTGCTTCCCCAACAAGTTGTTTGTTTCCCCTGTTTGTTTCCCTTGTTGATTTGAATTGTGTTGGGGTTGTTTTGCCCCCTCAACCTTCTAAAAACACAATAAAATGAAAACTACTAAACAAGACCTTAATTTCGGTATAAGATTTTTAAATCCATTATTTTGGTAGGTCCAACTATACTGTTAAGTAGTTATATATTTATTTGCTTGATGATGAATAGGTACATAGTACATAGCTTTGTCATCTTATTAATCCTTTTTAGGGGTGGCTATACGGTCCGGTCCGGTTAAATTGACGCAAATTGATCCGGTCTAGTCCGTTTTTTTTTTTTAAATATAAGAATCAAAGATTGGATTGGGTACAGTCCGGTCTTGATCCGGTCCGGTCTTGACATGGTCTGGTCCCAATTCGATCTTGATTTTATATTGAACTTGTGGGGATTTGAGTGGCCTAAGGCCTGAAAGGGTGAGGAGTTGGTTAAGTTTTGTACTAAGTGCAAAGGTTTGTGACCATTTATGCAAATTACTCTTAAGTTTTGGGTGTTGAGCTCTCTTATCCGGTCTTTATCCAGTTTTCGATCTGGTCCCGAACGATTTTTTACCTCAAATCTAAGCCCAAACATTGGATTGGATTGTTTACTATCCGATCCCGATCCGGGTTATACGGTTTGGTTTCGGACAAAACCAAAACACCCGGACCAAATAGCCAGCCCTAAGCCTTTTGCTTCCTTTTTCTGGACTCTCATCCACCCCTCACTCCCAGGAAAATTCATATAATTAATGTACATGAATGAACAGGGTAATGAAGAAAGGTAAAAGTAAAAAAGAAGAAGCTAGGCAGGCATCAAGCGGTACCTGCATGCAGAGTCTTTTGCAGGGAATGGTATGGTATTGGTAGGGAAAAGGAAAACATCATCATTCACAAATTCTTCTTCAATTAATAATAGAAACTCGTGGCACGTATGCTGATTAATTTGGTGGCACTTTTTTTTTTTTTTTTAGTTTCCTTCAATTTCACAACTCTATATAGGGGTAGCTAGAGAATCAATTAACGTGGACCCATATATGAAACATAAATAAATTGCTATTGAAAAATAATTTGTATTCGATTAAAAGAATTCTTTAAACTTAAAGTGTAAGAGTAAATTTAAAATAGAAAAATGAATACAATAAGGAGGAATAGAAAATAAAATTAAAAATGTGATTGTTATTAAATGAATAAAATTGAAGGAAGAAGAGAAATGTAGTTTAATTTGGCTATAAGAGAATAATACTTACATTAGATAAATTTGAACTTGAGAACCCTTATTTATCATGCCAACATCTAAATACAAGAAATAAATTGCACCTCCCTGACCAAAAAATGAATCTCGGGACCTACCCGATACAAATAATACATGACATTACATGGTATGCTTCCAGCTCCCTCAAGCTATGTGTACAACGTAATATATTACAGCTCCGATCCGATCCCACTCATGTTCCCTCCAATGTTGTTTAATTTTCCCATCATTTACCAACTTTGCTTGCGAAGAAATTAACCCAACAGTACGTAATGATCAGTGCCAAAGCGATTGATTTATTATATATCATTGCAAACGTTGTCGTATTTGGAGGTTCTCAATTGTTAAGTGTTTCCTGTCACCGTTGAGTTTAAAGTCTTGTATGGATTCGCATCAATGTCTGTATTTTTCTAATATCTTGTCGTCATTCACTATAAGTGAACGTCTTTCCTCCTCCTATACATAAGCTCATTCCTTCGTGTAGACGGAAAAAAAAAAAAAAAGAGCAAAGAGAAAGGCGCGCGGTCAAAAGGAAATAGTAGGAACTGGAAGAGAGACGAAATATGGTAGCCTGCATGATGATTGCAATGGTAGACACTGCAGAAGCATTCAATGGCGATTCTTTTCTTTTCTTTTCTTTTTGTTTGCGTACGCTTCCACATTCATCATTCCGCATATAAAATGCATCATAATCATAATGCAATGTCCAGCTTCATTCACCATTCTTCTATCTAGCTATCACAGCTACTTGTCTTTTTTATGGTACCTAGTACCTACGCTTCTCCCTTTTGTTAGTGCGTAGAAAAGTAACCTCCTCCATCACTTTCGCTTTCCACGGTAACTTGCATATATACTTTGTTTCCAGTGTTTTGCTTTCCCACCAATTAGGGGTTTGCTTGCTTTAGTTCATTCATACACAAATTAAACCCTCTCTTTTTGACTCCACAATGTACGTAGTTTCATCACATCATATTTGAGCTGTTTAGTTCATTTATAAGTAACATGTAACACTAAAAACATGCGATATTATAAGGAAAAAAAAAGCATTAATTAATTAACTCGGAGTGCACCAAAGACTTGCACAAGCACAACCAGCAAGAAAATTGGAACCACCTACCAAATTGCGTCCCAAATTTTCTCGTTACAGAAGATCTCGAGTAGTAACCGAGTGGTTACGTTACCGGAAGAAAAGAAAAAAAAAAGAACCAAACCTGAATCAGAATAATGATCATCATCCCAAACTAATTAAGTTGAACCAGCTCGATCTACACTCTGGTCCACGTCATGTCGTTCTCAAAAATCCAGTGGCACACCTCAATCTCCCCCGGACCAGAACCCAAAGCCACGAAAGCCCCGTGTTCCGGGCTCCATGCCGACGTGTCCAGGTGGCAGATCGCCACGCCAGCATTGATCTTCTCCCGACTCTCCACGTCAGCAATGTCCGCCTCGTAGACCCTCACTTTCGGGACAGAGTGGCAATAATACAACAAGTACGGGTACAGACTCTGATGACACGACACGGATTCCGTCACCCTCCCGCCGTCGATCCCTCTCACCGACCCAATCATCACTTCCCCCTTTGACCCCTTCACATTCTCCGTCGTCCTCACCGCCACGTCAGATCCCAGCACCGCCACCGCGAAGTCGATCATGTCCTCCGCCGACCCCACGCACCTCTTCACCTCCCCGGCGCTCGCCGCCCTCTCGCACTCCGCCACCGCGCTCTCGATCACCATCTCCGCCGTCGAGTTCCCGGCGGCGAGGAAGATTTCCTTCACCTCCTCCAGTCGCGAGGACGAAAACGGCAGCTTGGCAGCGATGGCACGCGGCAGGAAGGACCTCCTCGGCATTTTGTCCACGATGTCCGGCATCACCATGACGCTGCCTTGGGTCAACATAGACTCCCTGAAAAATCTTCCGGGCTCCACATTCCTCTTATTTACCGACATGCCACCGTGATGGGGCCCACTGCTCGCGCTGTTGTTGTTGTTGTTGTAAGCGGAGAAGGTCACGCCGTTTTTGCTGTAATCCTTGAACGTACGATCAGAAGTGTAGGATTTGAATCCGACGGTGGTGGCTCCTTTTGCCCCTTTCCCGTACTCTTTGAACGTGTCGTTGGAGGGATTGAAAGTTTTCCCGTAGTTGTTGAAGTTCACTTTGGCGGAGTTGGAATTCCTGAGGTACGATTGAAACGAATCTTCGCCGACGTTGGCCGAGTCTCTGTAGTTGGAGAAGCTCTCCGCGGCCGACGATCCGCCGGTGCCGTAGCTCTTGAAGTCGTCGTGCGGGTTGTTGGCCGTGCTGCCGTAACTCGTGAACGAGTCGTTGGCTCCCTGGCTCAGCTCGCCGTAGCCGGTGAAAGTGGAGTCGACGATGTTGGAGCCTTTGCCGTAGCTGGTGAACTGGTCGGGCGCTCGGTTGCCTTTCTTGGCGTAGCTGGTGAAGGATTGGGAGCCGGCGTTGGTGTCGTCGCTGTAGCTGGAGAAGCCGAGCTTGTGGCCGTTGCTGGCGGAGTCGTAGGTGGTGAAGCGGAGACCGGGCACGTTGACTCGGTTCTGGTAGTTCTTGAAATCGCCGAATCCGGCGGTGGATCTGGAGCCGTAGTTGCCGAAGCTGGCGTTGGCGACGTTGCCGTCGGTGGCGTAGTTGGTGAAGACCTCGTTGTGGCGGTTGGATTGTTGGCTGTATTTGAGGAACGAGTCGGAGGCAGAGTTCAACCCGGTGGAGTAGTTCTTGAACGAGTCGACCCCGCCGCCTTGCCTGGAGGTGCCGTAGTTGGAGAAGCGCCTGTTGGATGTGTAGAGAACGAAGTTCGCGTCTCGCGACGAAGTGGCGTTGAGGCCGGCCGAGTCGAAGGAGCAGAACAAGTTGGCCGAGGAGCAGAAGATGTCGAGGTGGGCAGAGAGCGAGTTTCGCGAGGCGAGCTTTGTGAGGAAGGCTGACTGGGAAGCGGTGAGCGGGGAGGCTTTGGAGAGAAGGAAGTCAGATTTGGGGAGGTCGTTGGTGATGTGGTTGTTCCAGTAACGGATCAATGCTGCCTTCGGAGAGAAGGGGTTGATCGTGATCTCCTGCCATTTGAGAGCAATGCGAAATGTTATGTTAGTCAGTCGGTAGACAAGGTGTTTGATAAAATGCACAAGAGAAAAATTGAGTTACCTTGGAAGCCGAGACGGATGATAGTTGCAGGAGAACGGAGGAGGAGGAGAATACGAAGAAGAGAATAGTGGTGGCTGTCATGGTGGCGGTAATGTTGGGGCATAGCGGCGGCATTTTGGTTGTTCGCATTGTGTATGTGGGTGGGTGGGTGGATCGAGGATGGATTCGACTTTGAGTGTGGAGGCAGGAATGGGGTGAAAAATGGTGTGGGTTTTTGGGGACATAAATAGCTAAAAGCTCTGCATTTTTAATCATGGGGTTCTTCCTTTCTTATCAAGTTTTGGCAGGCTGCTTTTTTAAATTCATGGACCATAGTTCTCAAGGGGTTATCCATGCTCGGATTACCTATATCTATGTTTTTCGAAAACAATGGTAAAACTTGATGTTTTCGAAAACGAATCAGATCTTAAATCGAAAAAGTTAGTGGCTTGTTGGTTCAACTGTTAACCACAATAGCACCGTTGGTTAATTACTGATAAAATCGTCCTTGCATATAACATAAAAGAAATATCTAATACACTAATTTAGGAGTGAAATTATCACTAACCATAAACAAATTCAAATTCATATAATCTATCACATCAATGTTCTAGAATAGTATTCAAACTATCTCACAAACACAATTAATTTTTTATATTGAATTCAAGTTTGTAATCAGGGTGACAATATATAGTGGACCACATAAACCTGACAAGAACGATGGAAAATAAAGAAAAGGAAGTATAAATAAAAATTAGTGATTGATCTTGGATGATCTTAATTTTAGTTAAATAGTTTTTTTTTCCTTAATTGTTTTAGGTTTAAATTGTTATTCGGAGGACTAGTCAAATTGGGGTGGTTCATCTGGTTTCATGTTAAACCATAAAAAACCGTTGAGTCCAATCTAACCGTCCAATCAAATAAATCGAAACGCTATTGTAACTGATTTAGTGATTCGATTGACACACCCGTCGATTCGGTTCAGTTCTTATAACAATGGTAAAACTTAAATTTTATTTATATTCTTTTGTTCAAATTAAAATTATATTTTATATTAGGAGGCTATATTTCTGATTTCAATATTTTGTAACGATTTATGTTATTGAAGTAAATTAATTTTTCACAGGTTGAATTTAAGAAGAACACAAATTAATTATGATATGACAAACTTATTGGGTAAACTTATTGCTATTGGGAAGACCGGAAGAGGGAATACTTTTAACTCAACTTAATTTGTAGACCATAAGTCACAGCAGCGATTATATAACCAGAGAATTGTTGTTTGTATAGAGTAAGCATGGGCAATTGCTTGTCATTGCAAAAGGCTTTGTTTCAAAGTCATGATCTCTGGTTTGATGAAGAAATGCCATGATTCGATGAATAAGAGTGTATTCCGAATCAATAAAACGATTATGATGAATAGTTGTATAAAGATTTCTCTGATAATATATTATTATCTGAATTTTTGCGTAAAAGATAAATTTGGCCTGAATTGAAAATATACGAGTTTTGTTCAAACTTTTGAAATAAATCAACAAATTTTATCTAAGATTTGGGGTTATCGTGACAGTCAAAATATTTTTTTTTTCATCTGTGGTTCAGCACTCGATACTTAGGTTGGCTGCCAAATGACTTCCATTTTTCCCATCATTCGTCAAACTAGTTTTCCACCCGATGGCAGTACACTTCTATTGTTTGTATTTTAGTTTATTGACATTATTATTTTCAAAGATGGTCTTTTATTTCTTTTATTTATATTTACTTATTTGTATTATCTATTGTCCAAGTGTCGTCTAACAGGAGAATCACTACGTACACTTAATGCATGCTTGACCAGGATCATCAATAGTATCAAATAATAACAGTTGTGACTTCATCACAAGTTGAAATATCATACTCATGTCTATCTGATCTTCGATTGACCAAAAAATTTCAACCTTATAAATGTACATTGTCTTTCATTATTTTTGTCTTTAATGCATCAAAATGTTTAGGCCAAATATGCAAGCATATAATATTTCCTTCAACTTGGTGACAACCTCATAAGTTGTACATGATCTTACTACCGCATGACTTTCTTTTGTTTACAACAAAGTGAAGCTTCTTGAGTGGCAGAATTCTTTGTCCAAGAGAAATGCGCAAAAGGTAAATCAATTCTTAATTTCTGAAAGAAAAATGATAATAATTGTGAAGATTTTCATGAGCAATTTAGGTGAATGACCCAAATTTATGCGCCATGCATAACCACTCCCACATTAATCTTTAACGAATTATATCTCATTAGTTTAAAACTCGATTTTCTCCATACAAATTGAATAATTATACTATAAATTACATTCACCGTGATATGTTTTGAACAAAAATGTGTCAATGGAGATGTCATATACCATGGTGGTATATATTATTGAAAATTAAAAAATTGAATGAATATCTTTGGTTGATCACAATTAATTTTTTCATAATTGTTTTTGAAATTTAACTGAGAAGGAAGAAAATATAATCTGATTGATAAAATGAAGTAATTGATTTTTTATTATTCAAACATCAACCATTAGAACTATCTAATGGTTTGAGTTTAATTATAAATTTGGCATATTTTGGACTTATGCATCCAATGTTGCCCATTTGTACACACCCAACAAAAGGAAAGGAATTACGTGAAAAAAATATAAAGAAAGAGAAGACCTCAACTCCTCAAGTATGTTTAGCGAATCATCGACTATATAAGAAAGTAGCAATGACCATTTATTAATGTAAAAGAATCTTGTGCCCAAATATCAATATGTACAAGATCAAAAGCAGTGTAGTCTTAGTTGGGGACAGGTTACGGTAATCACCATAGTTACTAAGGGTAAATTGGATATGAAAAAATAAATTGTATTAATTAATTTTCTTAATAAATTACATTTTAGGTAGTTACAAAAATCTATTAATTACGATTCTTTTTCTTTCTCTCACTTCCGTAATCTCCAGCCAGATTTCCTTTCCTTATTTTTCTCAATTTTTATGCAAAAGAAAAAAAAAACGAAATCACTACCACTTTGAAAAACATCAATATCATTGCAGAAATAAATCTATACCATTAGACGAAAACTACCAATATAAACAATCTACCAATATAAATCTATACCATTTCAAAAAAACAATACCAATACATGCAAATTAATACCATTACATGATAATCAATACCAATGCGACATAAACAATACCAATGCAACAAAATCAATACCAATCCATAAAAACACTTATACTTATTAACCAATATCAATACAATTGCACCACTACCAAACAACAATATCATTGCGCCAATAGGAAAAAACACTACTACTACTACTAAAAAATCACTACCAATACAAACAAAATACATACCAATACAAACAAAAGCTACCTCTTTCCTAGCCATTAATTTTGCCCCGAGGAGATGCAGAAGAACAACAGAGAGAGAGAGAGATATTGGAGGAGGTGGGCGGAGGGTGGGGGGAGAGAGGGGAGGAGAGGGGAGGGCAGGTGGAGGAGATGGGGGGAGGTGGGCGGATGCCGTCGTCTAAGGTTCGGCTGGAGGGATGGTAGATTAGGGTTTGAGTAGAATATATAGAATAATCAGGTGTGGACTCTTTTTTGTTTCCAAAATTACCCTGAAACAAAATTAACCGTGAGATTAAAAAAAGAGGAAAACAAGAAAAATGAACGGCAGATAGTGATGTAGCCACGGTGGCTACTAAAATTTTAGTTGCCACCCTAACCCATTCCGTCTTTTTTTTGTCAAAAGATAGCTTGTATTACCAAGAAGAAATAGATCACAAACGATTACAACTCCATTTGGAGCCAAGCGCAAAAATCAAACCCCCCAATAAGAGCAGGAAACAAAGAAAGGGCCTTCCTAACCACCTTATGGGCTACCCTATTGTTATCTCTGCCTACAAATCGGAGAATCTCTCCAGCTACACTAAACAGAAGCTCCTGCACCTCCTGCAACACCGCACCCCCCTGACAATCCCAAGGGCATCTGGATAAAACCTTCTCTATGACGACTTTCGCATCCCCTTGGTAGCAAACCCCCGTCAGCCCCCTCGATCTACACCACCAAATCGCTTCTCGAAGAGCCACCAGCTCCACTAGCATTGGGTTAGTAAGCCCCTCAAACCTCCTCCCAGCAGCCCCAAGTACCACCCCATCCGGCCTCTGAAGAACAAATCCCACCGCTGAATGTGATACCCCACAAACCGCACCATCAAAGGAGCATACCCAAGACACACCCTACGGCATCGGATCCAGAGCCAGTGGCACTGCCTGACGCCCACCCTGTTGCCGATCCACCACTGGACCCCTCAAATCTCGCCATTCCGCAACCTGGGCCATCCACTGGCTCCGCAACACCTCCCTAGTATATTGACAACCATCAAACACAACCTAATTCCGGGACTTCCACACCCTCCACAGAACGGATATAAAACTCATCAGCATCCCCCCCCCCATCCGCAACCTTCTCCACCAATCTACGCACAAAAAGGCCAACATTCTCCTGAGGCAGCCCTTCCCTTATCACTTCCAGTCCCGCCACTGCCCACAAATCCTTCGCCACCGGGCACTCAAAAAACATATGCTCCAGCGACTCAATCTCATTCCAACAAACCGGACACCTCTCCAGAACTGGGATATCACGAACCAGGAAAGCCTCCGTAGTGGGCAAAACCCTACTCATCACTTGCCAAAGGAAAAACTTGAGTTTCGGCTTGATACTAAGGCCCCACAGCTTTTTCCACAACCCCTGATCCATCCAGGATGCCTCACACTTAGCACGCCACCTATTCGAATTCATCCTTACCGCCAAGTGATGACCAGACTTCACCGTATACTTACCAGATTGGTCCTCATGCCAGACCAGTTTGTCGCGAATTGGCACTCTCGGCAAAACAATTGCTTTGATTTTGGCTGCCACCTCTGGGGAAAAACAGTTCGCCAAACAATCATCACACCACGTCCCTGGCTCTTCACCTAGTAACCCCGCCACCGTCGCGCCCTCCCAGAGGTTGGCCGACTCCTTCACCACAGGAGGGTTAGGATGACACCCTGGCACCCAGTTATCAGTCGCAATCTTAACCTCCTCCCCCCCACCAACCTGCCAACGCAACCCAGCTTTCAGCAACTGGACCCCATACAACAAACTCTGCCACCCCCAAGACGGCCTGGACCGAGCTGTGGCTACCGGCAAGCTGCCATTGGGGAAATA